AAATGCAACTTCTGACATTTATCACTGCTTGCCGAACGTTTATGTCGAGCAACCAGTGGATGTAAGCACCATTCAACAATGGCGACGTGTGAAAAAAGAAAAAGAAAAAAAGGATAACCTCTACTAGAGCAGCCTTTTGTCAATCGCTGGCGAAAATGCATAGCCATTGGTGACGTAAAGTCGTCCTACTGTAGCTGAAGTAATTCTCTAGCTAACCGGGCTTGTCGTGTTCCCCTTATTAGTTCAAGTTTCAGCGGAAATCAATAAGAATTTGTTTTTTTTTTGTTTTTTTGAGCATCCCTCTAGACAGAGCATATGTGTGTATATGCGTGCTTGTATGTGCTTTTGTATGTTCTTGGGTGAGTGCGTGTGCGCACGTGACTAAATAGGTAACGGACAAAACTAGTAGCTGTGGCTACCAAGAGGGTTTTTCTGTCCATAACCAATTCAGTTAGTTCAATCCTCCTTGGGGATAACCACTCTCTTATGATCGTAATTTAACTTTTTAACTAAGTTGATTCTATTTTCTTTATATTTATTCTTTTTCCTCAATTTTATTAAAGTTTTTTCTATTTATTTATTTTTTTAAATTTCATTTTTTTTATCTTTAATTATCCAATTTTTTGAAATACGATATATGCAGAAAAGTTCACGGTACAACCAAAAAAACTTTTTAAAAAATTTGATGTTTGGTCATTTCGTGCGATTTTTGGGAAGTGGGTCGTGCTGAAAAATCTTCAGCACCCCATTCTTTATGTTTATATGGCTTGTGATTGAATACTAAATAACTGAAGCAATAACCGAAATATTTTCTGTAGGGTAATGGTTAACAAGCTAGTGTCTAAGATCATTCTTATTATAATGAGTTCGATTAGGATTGTTTTATATGCAAATAACGGTCTTGGACCACACTCGGCTTAGTAAATTACAAAGACAGTATGACATCCCTTCAGGAGTTAATGGTTAACGAGCTGGTTTCCAGTGTCGTCATTTCGGTACTTACTGGATGCCCTATAGCTAAGTTCCGACTCCAGTGTTAGCTTTTACTGAATAATAATAATAATAATAACAACAACAACAACAACAACAATAATAATAATAATCTTAATGCGAAAAAATACAAAATAATGTTCCTACTCTTCTTGAATGATATAATTGTTTGGAATCTACAGGGTGCAGTAGAAATATCTTCCACGTATACCTTCCAGAAATGTCACTTATTGTCTTACTATTATGCAGGAGGTATATGTGCGAGGCATTTCTGTCGCATTCTGCAGAGTTTTTCATTGAGGGTTGGAGAAAGATAGAATTGGTCCTTGAAATCCAGAACCAAGTCTGAAAAAAAAAAAAAAAATTATTAAGAAAAATATAATTTCGAAACGGTTCTTGCTTATCCGGGTTTTAATACCCAGAATCTTTGCACGAAGCCTATTATTAATTTTATGGGTGTGTTTAATCGGGTATTCTGCGTTAATTTTATTATGATTATTTATATTTCAGTATATTCCTGGTGTAGAGGTTTGAGTGACTCATGAAAATAGATTAATTATTTATAAAAGAAAAAAAAAGAAAGAAATAATTTCAATAAAACTGATCAGACGAATACAGTGTTATAGATATGATTAATCAGTTGAAAATGAATGAACTGTGTGAATACTAATTCATTAGTTCTACAAAATATTGCCTGGGAGTTTGTCCGTCATATTTAATACCAGCAGCCATACCCAACTGGTCAGTCAGAAAAAAGCGTTCAGTTAGAATGGAGCAAAAACAGCATCATGTTTAGATGTAACAGAGTCTATCTTCTTCAGTTATTTTAGATTAATTTCATTAAAAAAACATTTTAAATTAGTGCAGTTACTGATATAACAGAAACAGTCTGTATTTATTCAATCGAAATTAGCCGAGGGCATGAAGGGATAAAACATGAAGACCCAATTCAAACAACACTTATTTTGGAGTTTTTGAAATTCAATTCACCAGGGATTTAAAGGATATAAAGTATAATTATAACTGTTAAGCTTGGTTGGAAGATCAAGAAAAAATAAGAAAGAAACAAGTAAAAATCACCATTTTTCGCTATTTACGCGGGTTTTTACTATATGGGTGGACTCGATTATCAAGTTCAATGACTATTAGACACTCAACGTTTTGTTGGATACAATTGAGTGAAGTTTGTATTAGATTGCTTGAAAATTGGGGGAGTTTTTAGTTGAAAATTTGTGTTGAAATCAACTTTTCGTTTCCCGCAGTTTTTTCGCTAAACGCAGTGGCGTAGAAACAAAAATGAGGTAATCGTTGAGCTCGTCACGATGTAAGAAACCTGCATACCGAGTTTGAATGAAATCGGGGAAAAATGTTGAATTTTTCGATTTTCGTCGACTTTATCGATCAATGATTCTTAAAAAAATATTATTTTTTTTACGCTAAGAACATATCTCTTACATTGGATTGGTTGGATGGATCTCGAGTGAAAAGGTATCACACAGACAGACACACAGCCATCCTTTGTTTTTATATATATATATATATATATATATATATATATATATATAGAGAGAGAGAGAGAGAGAGAGAGAGAGATTATTATTGAATGTATAATAAAAGGAATGTTTCAGTGAGAGAACGTGAGCTAGTAAATTAGTTTTGAAAAAGGCAACATAACTTTTATACCGTTCGCAAAATTCATCCCAGCGAGCAGCAACGTTGGAGAAAAATTCCTGAAAACAATACCAATTCTTTGCAAGTGAAAATAGATAGGCAAAAGCTTCTGAAGCCTTTACCTAATGGGCAGATAGAAGTGTTTTAAACCTTCGCTGCTAATCTCTGGCGAGATGAGGCCTCGATAAAAGCTCTCATCACTCAGTAGCCTGGCCGCTCGCGGCAATGTATAAGGCTACAAATCTCACAGCGACTCAAATCTGAAACTTACCCAGAACATTGGGGCAAAGTTCATCGGTAAATAATCAAATCCTAGTGTCTAATAGGTTAAGTGGATCATGATGCAAAATTCGACGACTTTTTTAAAAATTCGTTTTCGTTGCAAATTTAAGGTAGGCACTTTTCTTCTGTTTGTAAATGATTCTAGTAGCTGAAAGATAGTTTCAAACCTAAATCTTCAACTTAAGATATTTTAAGGTAGATGTTTTTATCCTGCTTATAGATGATTCTAGTAGCTGAAAGGTAGATTCGAACCTGAATCTCCAACTCCAGAGGAGATGTCACGATAAAAGCACCCATCACTCAATAGCCAGGTTACTCGCAGCAATTTCATTGTGACTGAAATCAGATCATATAATTTACCTTGAATGTTCAATATTTTGATATTGTTTAGCGGCATATCAATCTTTATGCGTTATTTAATGCTGAAATGTAAATATATTTTGAACACAATGCTATGGCTTCAACTCAGGGGTGGATTAAGCATTAAGAAAAATAAGCACGTGGTTAGGGCATCAAGCGAAAAAGGCACCACAGAAATTGTAATGATATGATATTTTACACATCTAAAGAAATAAATCGAACACGATTAACATTTGCATCAACAAGGCGTCATTGTGAAGGGAGGACAACTGACCTGCAGCGAATCTTATTGATATTCTGATTGGTTAATAAAGGAATGGGGTAAAGAAGATAATGAGGATTGCATTTACTCAATACAACACATCTCCTCTCTTGAATAATTTAGTATTTCTAATTAACTTAATGGGATTTAATTTTGTGAACAGGGCTAGACTAACTTCATGTTCGTTTGGCATTATTCTAGCCATATTTTTATGCGATTCTGTAAAACGCTGGTTTCTTGATGACACGATCACTTCTGGTCACAGTTCTTTTAGAATCTGGTCGTGGCTCATTTGACAGTGGTTGCACAGCCGTGATTGTTTCTTTCTTGGCTGGTGTCCAGTCTCTCTCGATGGTCATATGTGCCTTCGGTTCATTCTATATTTATTTCCAGCTAGGGTTTCGAAGATGCACTTTCTTGGTTTGTAGCCTTTATTTATTTGCACTATTTATCTAGACTTCATGCTAGCAAACTTTACTCGCAGATGTATTGCGGGGCGGGGGGGGTGCAAAATCTTTTAAGAGTCCCTATGCGTCTTAATCCAGCCCGGCTTCAACTATGTATATTTTGAACGCAATTGTTAACCTCCAACTAGAGATAAAATGTATTGTTGGCCATTTTACTATAAATATGGATTTTTTAGTTGATTTTCTTTAGCAACTTATCAAACTCTATGGGTTATTTAATGTTGTACGTAATTTTATGCTTTCAACTACAAACATTTTGTACAAAATTATATACTTTCAGGGAAAACGTATGTTTTATAACTAAATATTTTGTAGATCATAAAATCTATTGTCGCTTATTTTATAAAAAAAAATGAGCCATTGATTTTTCTTTGGGGGTTCGCTATTTACCCATAGCTGGGACTATAACAGATGCTATCACCCCGAGACAGGGTTGACCTGGGAACAACAGCAATTAAGAGGTTCTTCTAGGTTCCTGAAAACATTCAATGTCCCGATCAGAGGCCTTGCTGTCAGATGTACTTTATCGTTAATCCCAGGACGATTATCTTCGGGGCGGGTTCATCGACAAATGGTCAGATCTCAGAGTTTAACGGCTGACTCTCGATGCAAACTTCGCCACACTACCATTTTTTTTTAAATTCGTTTTCGTTTCATTTCTAAGGTAGGGTTTTTTCTTCTGTTTACAAATGATTCTGGTAGCTGGAAGATGTTTTCGAACCTGAATCTCCTACTTCAGATATCGACATTGATGTCTTCTATTCAGCGTTCTCTCGTTACATGGCATAAAATGATACGTGTATTCCTGGCCAAAAACGCACACGCACGCGTATCGCTTGCACATTCACGAGCATATGAGTACTTAAAATGAATTTAAGACCTTTCTGAAAATACGCACGATGATATTAAACAAAAAAAAATGACGCTGATGTAAGAGGAAAAAAGCTAAGAAAGATATACTTTAATAATTAGAATAAGAAGAGAAACAACAACTCGAATAATGCACATAAAAGAATCAGTGTCGAGACTTTTATAACAAAAATGAGTGCGTGGTGTCCCCCGCCGGCGGCCAGACGGTCACGTGACGCCGAAGAAGGCGGGGTCAGAGAGATATTGAGAGAGGGAAAGAGAGAGAGAATGACTGAGTGAGAGAGAAGAGTAAGATGCTTTGAAGAGATGGAGGGGGGTTAAACCGGAGTTGTGGTGGTGTTGGTGGTGAGTGTTGAAAAAACGCTTCGAGGTGTTTCCATCACTCTTTCTCGAATTTGTTTTCGTTTCTTTTCTTTCGTTTGAAGGGGGTGCTCCGTAGAATAACGGCAAAAAAATAAAAAATAAACAAAAAAAAAAAATTAAAAAAAAAATATAAAAAAATAAAATAAATAAAAGAGATGTAAATACTCAATCGCGTATCTTCGTATATTAACTTGTGATGCTTTTTTTTTTCCTTTTCTTTTTTTTTTTTTTGACTTTTTGTTCCATTCTTTTAGAGAATTCTAATCCATTTGGATATTATAGATGATGCCCCAGGAGCCAAAAAAAGAAAAAAAAAAAAAGAAAAGAAAATGGATAGAAGAAAGAGTGATAATGAGAAAGAGTCAAAGTAGGTGCAGTCGGGGTATATAGGTGGAAGGTTGAATTCACTATATAGGTAGGAGGTAGGTAAAAAAAAAAAAAAAAAATTAAAGAAAGAAAAAATTGTTTAAGGTTATTGTTTTTGCTTCCTTTTTATCAGTAATTGTCTGTCATATTTTATGTTATACATTAATTTTTTTCATTTTGAAAATTGTTTTCCATTTTGTGGAGATGAAGACAAAGAGAAGTTAAAGAAAACCATTTAAGATATAAAAAAAAAATCATTCAAAAATGAAAGTAGAAAATATAAGATAAGATATCGATGAAAGAATTGAAAAGTGAAAAAAATATATTGTGAATGAAAATCCTAAAAGAAAGACTGGGGGGCTGAAAGGAAGGAAAAAAAACATCAAGTAAATAAGAAGGTACTAATAATATCAGAGAATGAAAGAAAAGAACAAAAGAAAGAAAAAAGAAGAAGAAAGGAAAGAATAAAAATAGGGAAGTAAAAGGAAGAATAAAAGAAAGAACGAACGAACGAAAGGAAGGAAGAAAGAAAGAAACAAACAATGAATGAATGAAAAAAGAAAGAAAGATAGAAAGAAATAAAGAAAGAAAGAATAATTTCGACAAAAAAAGAAAGAAGGTAGAAGGAAGCTGGAAGGAAGAAAAAAAAGCAAGAACTGAAGAATTATGAAGATAGTGGACAAGGGAAGAAATAGAAAGAATGAAAGAGGGAAAAGAGGAAAGAAGAAAAGAAGTGATTAAAGACAGAAAAGAAGAATATATATATATATATATATATATATATATATATATATATATATATATATATATATATATATATGAAGGATGCTGAATAGTTTTCAACCTGACCGAAAAAAGTCTTTTTTAAAAAGTTCTGATGTTTAGCGCGATTTAGGGAAATGGGTCACGCCGAAAACATTTCAGCACTCGTTCGCGCGTGTCTCTATCTGTGTGTGTGTGTGCGTGTGTGTGTGTCTGTGTGTGTGTGTGTAAGGAGAATATAGTGGAAAAAAGAATAAAATAAACAAAGTGACAGAAAACAAGAAAAAATTCCCAGAAAACATTTGAAATAGAAAAAATAACAAAGAAAATGAAAAAAAAACAAAAATAGTAGAGACAACCCCCCACAAAAAAAAAACAAAAGAAAAAAAACACACATATGATGAAGAAAGAAAATTATAAGGGAAGTGGGATGGAAGGAATTTTAATGTACATACTCTCCCTATAATAACTTCATATGTTTTAATGGCGTCAGGGATCAATTCGAACCAGCCCAGGTAAAGAAAATTCAGAAAGCTTAGTTTTGTATGACATAAGTCTACAAGTTTTGAGCTCTCAATATGGGCCCGCGGGGAATCAATTGCTGTTATCCCAATATAATTACTTACGTAGGTTGTCTGATACAAGGTGCACATCACAATGGTCAGGTAGACAAGTTCTTTAACCATTACTTTATGTTGAGTATCCATTATTGACTAAATTCAGTTTAATCTGGCACAATATGGTCACAATATGGTCATATTTACAGAGAATGAACATCGAATTCACATCCATGGACTATCTTAACAATTATTTTTGTCACTCTTCTACAATATTCGCCAAAAATATGGCTAAAATTGTGAAAGTTTGGCGCAACATAATCTTCTTATACCGGACGAAGATCTGAAATACTTGTAATTGGAGAAACGAAATTTGGAAGCAAACATATGGGAAAAAAGCGGACTTGAATGAATAAGTAAATAAATAAATAAATAAAGAAAGAAAGTTAGAAAGAAAGACAGAAAGAAAAAAAGAAAGAAAGAAAGAAAGAAAGAGAGAAAAAGAAGGAAAACCTAGGAAAGAAAGGAAGACATGATGAAAATAAAGAAA